TCAATAATAATATAACTAGTATAATGAATGTTAAATATATAATAGTGCTAGTGCTGTCAGTATTGATTGTTGTTACTGCTGCATTATTGTTGTTTATTACCTCCTCTTTGGTTTGAGTGCCACCCATTATGAGTTAACTCGTGCAGCTGTTGTTGCAAAGTAGCTTTATTTTTGCCTTCTGCAATTTTTATTAATTTTTTTAATTCTCCTTTTTCATTTATTAACCTTCTCTTTCGGCCACATCTTTTCTTTTGTGGTCTATTATGTTCTTCTACTATTATTTCCTTGGTTCTTCCACCAGGATTTTTTCTACGATATTCTTCTAACGTTATGGGTTTTGGACCCGCTTCTGGATTGTTTAAAATTGCTTGTTGCAGAGTTTTCACAATTTTTTCAAATGTGTCATCAATCTCCAGTTGTGACCTTTCCAGTTTTATTTATTTTTTTTTTTTTTTTTAAAAATTTAAAAATTAAATCGTTTGCATAATCGATAATGTACTGGTGTGTATTCAAATGCTTATTAAGCATTTTTTTGTGTGGAAACATTTACCACAAACAAAACAATTATAACTTTCCATTCGTTATTTTAAAATAACTATAATTGTAGAATTAGAAGATGATTATTAAACTGCTTTAGAAGATTTGGGCAGGCTTTTTGCTATTAAACTGCTTTAGAAGATTTGATCCGTCGGGGGCAGGATCGCCATGTTATGGTTATAAAATGTGTAATTGTAATGTTATGGTGATGATCTTAATGCTTCGCCATGTAATGGTTGCAGGATGTTAGGATCGTCAAGATATAATAGCAGGATTGTTAGATAGAGTGTTCTCAATTAATATCACCAAATAATGTCTGAGTCCTGAAAGGATTCAAGGATCACTTATCGACCAGTGTAAGTGGAAACGACCTATCGGTATAGAGAAGAGTATTACTAAGCTCTTCAGCCGCTTATTGTTCTTTCAGCATCTAAATGCCGCATAGAACACGATTCAAATAAAAGACGTAACCTTGTCTTAAGTTAAATTGAATCTCTCTTTATTATAAAAATTATGGGTATTTATACTTATTCTAGCTTATTTACTAAACAATTATTATTTACTTCTGATTGATTTGAGTAACCAATCAATGCATTGGTTACTCCCATAAATTACATTAATTATTTTATTACATATATTTTATAAACAAATACTCTTCTAACGCATTACAATAATACGTCATATATTGTTTTTAAAGAGTTAATGTACTTTCTAGAATTTAGGTCGGAATAGTGCAATGACCATACATGCTTATCATGTCTTATGTTACAAATGCATATTTGTAACAGCATGAGTCAAAATATTTCTTTTAAGTAATATGATCAAAGTCAAAGCGTCAAACCGACAAAAGTGCATATTATAATTTATGACACATTTATTTTGTCTGAATGAACAGCGGCTTGTCACATATGATATTAATGTAGGTCATGGGCACTACAATAGCATGGTTATTTAATGAACCTCGTCCAAGCTAAGATTGCACTTCAGGATTGTTTTATATTCTATATATGGTAAATATTCTTTTATATTGTATCTTCTATAAGTTAAGTTGACACTTTTGTTTTTTTTAATATTAGTAATATGTATAAATGTACGTATTTTTCTGTGAAAACCCTCCGTAACGGGGTGTTTCTCGCCTAATTAAAATTTTCTATCTATATAGATAATTTAGCCACCCTGTTGGCTCTGGTGGCAACCCCAGCATCTAGGATGCGATAGGAAGATAACCTTTTGTACCTGAAAACTTTCTTATCCCCAGAATGTCTACACGGAAAATAAATTGGCCGGAACAACTGTTGACGAACCCTCGCTACACTAAAGGAATACGATTTGGAATACGGAAGTGAAGACCTTCTATAGATCAGGAAAACTAGCGCAAGCCAGTTAACATTGAAAGTTATAAGCTCTCTTTTATGGGCTTATGTGAAGTAAGGAAGTATCCGAACTACAAAAGGACATGAACTATACTGGTCTGTCATACCAAACGAAAGTGATGTACATCAATATGGCGTTGGTATTTTAGTCAATTCAAAAATCGGAAAAGCTGTCATAGACTGTAAATGTATTAACGAACGCATTATGCTTTTACGCTTCAAATGCCATAAATGTAATCTAACGACCGCTGCTAAGGCTGCAGATAACGAAATAAGAGACTCCTTTCAGGACTTACTTAATAATGCTATAGATAACACCCTCAAGCAAGACCTGTTAGTAGATATGCGCGACTTCAACGCCAAAGTGGATAACGACCTAGCTTTGAATATATAATGGGCAAAAACGGTATCGGTGAGATGAACGATAATAGACAGCGACTTGTAGAATTCTGTGGCACTAACGAACTAAAAATTGCCGGAAAATTATTTCCACATAAATATAAGTACAAACTTACATGGACTTCCTCAAATGCTGTTACTGAAAATCAGATAGACCATTGAAGTTGTAACGACAATTTTCGTGCCTTTTTTTGCCGGGGTAATACTCAGGGGTTGGTCCTGGGTCGTTGCAATAAAATTTATAAATATTAGAAGACAGTGTTTTTAAGTTTTGTTTTTTTTTCTTTTTTAATTTTTCTTTATTAATGTATTTACTTAAATTTAAAAATGTCTTAATTATTCTATGTTTCTATTTTATCTATATGCTATCCTATTACAGGATATTGATTTAGATATTGATATAAATTTTCTTTCTTCGATGCCAGCGTATTATTCTTTGATGTTTTCTGTAGTTTTCTGTTGATTTTCTTTCTTCTACACCTGTTGTAAAAGGGTAATCAATGTTAATGTATAGGCGTGTACACGCCTATATAAATTTTAGTGACAAGGGATAAACGTGTTTACGCTTATGGAAGGATTTGGTAGCAAATTATAAACGTGTTCACGCTTATTATTTTACTGGAGAAAGGATTAAACGTGTTTACGCTTATGCAAGGATTTGGTTGCAATCCTTGTAGTTCACGCTTATATATTTAAATAAAAAAATAGAAAGGTGCTTCTTTATAGTTAGCTCCATGTACATCAGTGCTCTGGTAATGTCTCCGAATGATTCACTTGGCTAGTCGATCACTAACTCCGATGACTTCAAGTGTCGATCACTAACTCCCCTTTTCTAAGTAAATGAGTCTTTTTATATACCCATCAGACCAAACTGTAACGTAGCGCAAAGCTTAGTTTACAGCTTGTTTGCATTTTGACGTAGTTGCTGTTTTGCGCTTTCGCTGTAGTTAATATGAGCGCGAGTTACATTCTCTTATCTTATCCCTGTACTAAATATTTTATTATCGTTGTTTGACCTAATCAAACAACGAAATATTTAAATTGCATCCTACTAAATATTTTATTATCGTTGTTTGACCTAATCAAACAACTAAAGATCTACATTATATTTTATTATATTCTATTATCTTTAACTAAACATTGTAACAAAAAATATTGTTATCGCTGTTCAGCCTAACCAAACAATAAAATGTTCTCATTATATTATATTATAATTACATACCATTGTAAACATTGTAACTAAAAATATTATTATAGTTGTTCGGCCTAACCAAACAACGAATTGTCTTATCAGGATTCGATACTTCGAATCCTCACTATAAATATAAGCAAAGTTGTTAGTTATAAGTTAGTCTTAAGATTCATTCTGTAAAACCATGTCTTAAAAAATATTAAATATTTTAAATAAAAAGACAAACATGTGTTTTAATTAAACATATAATTCGCGCATCAATTTCTGCACAAAGTTCTTTGCACAAAAGCTCTTGACATTTCTTGTTTTGTTTGTTTTGCTTTTAAATGTGCTATCAACATTTAAACTCAGCGTCATTGCTTAATATTTATATTAATTAAATTAAAATAAATATTAAAAATATTAAAAATATTAAAATTATTAATATAAATAATAAAAAAATATGGTGAGTGTATTATTTATTTGTTTAAATATATTTTATATTCCTTGAATTTTCGATGTAATCTTAGGTTAATTCATGCGGGGGTGGGTTTATGGTAAGTTATTTACTTTTAATAAAAACACTAAAAAATTAACCAATTTTTTTATTGCAGATATCCACTTCATACTGACTGTATGGAAGGGACAGGACGTCTATCCTGTCCCTGCTCGGGCGCCAATTGTAACGACAATTTCTCGTCGCTCTGTTTGCCGGGGTAATACTCAGGGGTTGGTCCTGGGTCGTTACAATAAATTTTTAAAGGATAAAGACGGTGTTTGATTTCAATATTTATTTATTATTAAGTTGTCTTAAAACTAACAATGTTTATTCATTTATATTTGATATGTATAAAAATTATTATACCTGTTGTGGAAGAAAAGTTTATGGGTTATAGACGTTATTATCTATAGACGTGTTCACGCCTATATATATATATATGGCTTAGTAAGTAGGAAAGGATCTAAAACGTGTTCACGCTTTATATTAGGTTTTAATAGCAGGATATGAACGTGTTCACGCTTATATTTGCTACTGGAAAGGATATAAACGTGTTCACGCTTATGTACGGTGGCTATAGGAGGGATAAAACGTGTTCACGCTTTATATTAGGTTTTAATAGCAGGATATGAACGTGTTCACGCTTATATTTGCTACTGGGAAAGGATATAAACGTGTTCACGCTTATATACGGTGGCTGTAGGAGGGATAACAAATCAAAGGAAAATTTGTTATGTAAGTCTCTGTTTATACTTAGCTCTGCGACCGACTTTGTATGTTGTGTTTGACTGTCCAAGTCCCTGGTACGTTCTCTTGTCTTCGAAAGTTGATAACGAGCCTTTGTCTGCTTCTGAACACTTTGCGTGTTGATCACTGACTGCCTTCTTCTAAGTAAATGCGTCTTCTTATATACGCATCA